TTTTCAACATAAATGCTTTGCAGTATTCCTAGAGCCTACTGGCTAATTTGTTTGGTAATTAGGGCACTGATTCTTATTTCAATGACGTTAACAGGAGTCTTCTATTGACTCCAGTGACATTCATGTCAAGTCCCACATACCTTCATCAACCATAGCTGTGTAGAGTATATTGTAATGCTGGCTTCCATGATCTCCTGTAGGATTTCACAGAATGTTAAAATGCTTCACTCTAAAAGAAAATATTTTAAATAAAAAGTTTAGGTATTTTGCATACTTCGAGTTTGAACATTCAGAATAAATCTCACAGCTTTAACCATTAGTTATAATGTGTACTCTAGACAACATTTATTATTAGAGATTTCACAGTATAATCAAACTAGATTCCACACTGTAATTATAAAAAAAGAAATTAAGACGTTAGGCATGACTAATTCCTTATGTTCCACCAGAAGTTTGTTTCCAATAGGTGCCACATTATAATGTTGATGTTCATTATATAACCCGTGGGATGCATACAGGCAAATACATTTAAACATATTATGGATTGTACTGTCATGCTCCCTGATCCATTCCTTTTATTTTGTATGGCAACTTGAAACACAACATGTTAAAGGTCAATGTCCAATTTTGCCATTCACTGCATGATGACGTGGAATTAATTAGGATTCCACCAGGATCTTAGAGGCTAGTGATTTACTAGATATTTCATGTTTTGCATGTTTTCTTTACATTCATGTATTGGTCTGTCTTTTGTTGGTAATAGCAGACATGACACAGAAGATATGACCCTTCAAGAATGTTATGATTTATTCATGATATTAGCCATATCAGAGCTCCCCCCCCCCACACACACACATTAAAATATGGCTCTCGATGGAAATTATAATGGTGTAGAGGATGTTGTGTCCCAGAGAAAGTATAAAACTTGGTATCTAGATATCAGACTGACCTTGAAATTAACATTTGGCAATTAACATTTCCTTAAGACTTGCACACCTGATTTATAAGTCACTGCTGCAGAAAAAGTATGGAGAAGCAAGATGGCATTTTACATTCACTTTTCACATAATAACATATACAATTAATGTTAAAATCTATCTACTACATTAAAATAACATAATTAAGCCACTTGTAACATACATTGTGTATCTAATATAAGCAGGATTAGCTTATCAGTGTTTTGAATGCTTTATGGAGACAATAGACTAGGCTTGCTTTCAAAAAGCTATTTCTGAGTTTATTATTCAATTAGAATGCAGTCTCTCCCTAAGAAAATAAACCCTTTTCAGGAAGCACAAAGTAGTTTTACTATGCATACAGCATAGACAACTTTAATATTTACATATCTCTGCTGTTTTTTTGTTCTTTTATTCATACATCTGAAAATAATCTTACATGTACTGATCATCTGGTAAGTTTTATTGAACAATTCTTGATTACACATCTTCCAAAAATGTCTAGTTTTTCCCTATCCACTGAATTCACAAAAAATGTAAACATTTAATTGTCCAAAACTTAACCCTATTTTGGTACCAACATTGTACAGCAAATACCAGCCCATTTTATATCTTTTTCTAGTGTTCTCCCTGTAGTTAGGGTGCATTACAATAATTTAAACAAAAACAATACCAGATAACACAAATTGAAGCTCTACCACGCATTTATTGAATTGTTCATATAAATGTCAATACAAATGTTCCCCTCAGTAGAATATCCCTTTAACCAGAATAGTTTTTATCAACCAACCCACCATATTCCAGTCCTACTGATCTGCCTCTTTCCCAAATCTGCCCAGTAAAGGATGGTTTATTCAATGTGACTCAAAGGGTAACAAATTCTGGATGAAGAGGAGTAAATTCTAATTTGAACTCTTCCCATTGGAAATGCTTTCTCAATTTGAGCAATCTTTGTTAACCATAGAAAACCTATGTATTATCCCAGATTGAGCAAAGTATCCTTTTTTCAGCAAAATACTTTAGTGCTATAATGAAATTGACTTTAGATAGGAGTTTCTTGGTCCTACTTGAACACAAATGATAAAAAAATAATGGAGGAGTTTCTCTAGTAGCTAGATGGTTTCCCTTTCAGGGCTGTCAACCCCAACATCTTAAACTCCACTCCAGAATTCACTAGCCATTAATGTAAGTCACAGAACACTTGGTGCATTAATGTGCTCTCTCTGTGACTCATCACTTAATGAGTCATAACCTTCACCAGATTCAGTTTCCAAATGTACGCAGGATATGTCTACACTGCAGTTCAATATCCATGACTGACCTGTATCAGCTGACTTCAGCTCTCTGTGCAGGGCTTTAAAATGTCAGTGTAGACATTCTGGTTTGGGACAGAGCTCCGGCTGTGGGACCCTCTCCCTGTGCTGAGTCCCCTGAGCTTAAACTCTGACAACACAGTCCATATCTTAGGTCCTAGGAGCCCAAGTCAGCTGACATGACCAGCTATGGGTGTTTAACTGAAGTGCAGACATACATTCTGCATGCAGGACATCATGGAGCAAACTATAATAGTCCAACCTTAAAATGAGCAAAATGTGGATTGTAACAAGATCACCATTCAAAAGGAAAGCTTCTGATCTTCAGGCTTGCACAGATGAAATAAAATCCTCTTGCATGAGACTGCTACCTGATCATCTAGAAGCAGCTTAGTATCAAATGGAACTATTTTAAAAAGTAAATCGTGGCTGATAACCTTCAGTAAACTCTAGTAGAGGACAATTTTCAAAGTAAGTTGGACTTTCAACCAAATACCTTTTACAATGTCCATTTGAAAGGATACTGATTAAAAATTGTTTAAAAAATTCATTCTTTTGTTACTAACTACATCTTAGATTATTGAATCTAGATTATTAGATTATTGAAAATGCAAGGATTTCATTATAGGTGGAGCTCAGTAAGCCACCTATACTTCATTCCCATTGTAAAACCCTGTTGTAAATTATTTATGTTTTCTAAACTTCAACTCTCTGAGCTGAAATTTTCCATGTTGGGTGTCTACATGATACTGAATTTTTGTGTGTGTGTTGTTGCTGTGGGTTTTTTTTAAACTTTCAGCTGTATTAAGGAAACATGATTTCCCCATGTCATAGGAAAAAAATAAATCATTCAACTGTTTTGATGAGATGCTCTAAGGCCTCTGTGCTTTAGAGGAAGGGCTTCAAATTTGGCCACAAGTGATTTTTTTGTCAGAGATGTGCCTTGTATTATTGTAATGGGGGGGAGGAGGGAAGAAGGGGAGTCAATATTTGACTATTTTATAAGCCTCTGAAAAATCTTAGTTTGTGCATGCTCAGTAGAGACTTGTTCAAGTTTGACAGCCAGATTCTTCAAAGTTTCTGTGGGCATGCTCTCCAGCTCCTCCCAGCACCTATGTTCTCACCAGAGTTTGTATGCATCATTCTCACTGAGCATGTTCCATGAGGAGTACCGGTAGTTTGAATGAGAGAGCCTAATTCGAACTACCTACTCCGTGCCGCGTGTAGCCGCGGGCACGGAGTCTGCACTAACGGGGATTTAAAAATGGCAGCGCCCGGCAAGATGCAAATGAAGCCCGGGATATTTAAATCCCGGGCTTCATTTGCAACTTTGAATGCCCACATTAGCCACCCTAGTTTGAACTAGGGTGGCAGTGTAGACATACCCGGAAGGAGGAGGAGGAATTTCAGAGGGAAGAGAAAGTTGAGGCCCCATCCTCAATTTAGGGACTGAAGTTACTGAATCCAGAACTCAAGAATATTTGGGTGGTAAAAAATAAGAAAACAGGGATAGTAGTGAGGGTTATAGGGTCCTGAGCTGGGAACTAGAGGAGGACATGGAGCAGAGAATCTCAGACAGCATCCACTGTTCCTCAAAGGTGTCTAGGCAGCCCGTAGAGATGCAGGAGGTAGTGGAAGAAGCAGTCTGCAAAAAAGAGCTTTGGGAGTGGAGAGAGGGAACTGAGAACTAGGAAAAGGAGACAGGGATTGGTTAGACAAATAGACAGAGAGTTGGGAAAAGGGAAACTGATCATTTTGAACTCAGAACTGGGAGGTGAAGATGGAGACTGAGACCAGAGATGGAGATGGAGGTGGCAGGAATTGAGATGAGATGCCCATGGTAGGAAAATGAAATGCAGATAGAGTGCACTGGGTGGAGACTGAGACTAGGACAAGCAGCTGGCAGGAGCTGGGGGAAGAGACAGGACTGGGACTGGAACATTTTTGGGAAAAGGATTAAAGGGTCTAGGACATCTAGAGAACATTTCCTTCCAGAACCTGCAATGGAATCCAGAATTCCTAAGTCTCACCATTCCTTTGTAGTCAGTAAATATCTGTGAAAGCCCTTGGCAAAGAGCATCTGGTTTTGGTCCCTATGGAGGATGACAACCTTCCATAGGTGCTAACTTTCCCTTCAGTTGGGTTTGGGAAAAGGATTAAAGGGTCTAGGACATCTAGAGAACATTTCCTTCCAGAACCTGCAATGGAATCCAGAATTCCTAAGTCTCACCATTCCTTTGTAGTCAGTAAATATCTGTGAAAGCCCTTGGCAAAGAGCATCTGGTTTTGGTCCCTATGGAGGATGACAACCTTCCATAGGTGCTAACTTTCCCTTCAGTTGGGAGGTGTTGGATGATTAAAGGGTCTAGGACATCTAGAGAACATTTCCTTCCAGAACCTGCAATGGAATCCAGAATTCCTAAGTCTCACCATTCCTTTGTAGTCAGTAAATATCTGTGAAAGCCCTTGGCAAAGAGCATCTGGTTTTGGTCCCTATGGAGGATGACAACCTTCCATAGGTGCTAACTTTCCCTTCAGTTGGGAGGTGTTGGATCTCCCACTCTATCCCAAACCCTGCTACCCTCAAGCCCCTTTCCTTCCTCCACCTCTTTCCACCCTTTCACCCAGTCTCATCCCTACTTCACCCCCTCTCCCTCTCCACCAAAACCCTACCACACCTTCTCCCCCAAGTTTGCCCCCTTTCTACACCTCTCCCCACCTTTCTAGAGCTTCCCTAATGCCATGAATCACCTGTTCACAATGCTCTGAAAAAGCTGGGACGGTGGAGGAGGAGTAGACTACCAGGATCATTAGCAGGTGAAAGGCACATTGGGGAAGGATCAGCTCTACATCCACTAGTTCTGTCCCCCCACCCCCGGTGGGTGCTCCAACTCTGTAGCACTCACAGAGTCAATTCCTATGCAACTTACTGTAGGGAATCAGGGTTGCAGGACTCCCAA